CTCGCTGTTCTTCCACAAGACAGCGGTGGAGTTCTGCTTGAATGTGGGAATGAGCTGCTTCCCAAGGCCAGTGAATGTGTGCTATGAACCAGTTGCTTCTGAAAGCGACTGTTGGGCAAGCTTGGTGAGATAGGGGATGTATCAGACTGTCTGGGATGATGCTGCCTCTCATGGTGTTTGAGAAGTTAATATTACTCTGGAAGAATTTAAATCCCTTCTTCATTAAACAGCAATAAGGAAGCTGTGTTGGTCTGAGAAGGAGCAGGAGGTGTAAAGCTAGGTGCTCTGGAAGCTAAGTCTTTTAAAATCCACATTCCTCTAGAACAATAATTTAAAAACCTTACTTTGAGGATTTTATAAGGAGTTCCTTTTCTCCAATTTAGTTATTGGAAAATGTGAAGTGATCTTTTCAGATCCTTTTCTGATGTTGGGAGCCACCCATGCACGGATTGAGCTCATTCTTTATTTCTGAAAATGAAATAGAGAAGCCTGAGCTTAGACACCTACCTTAGGAATGGCTCACAGTGTTGACCCCCACCAGAATGAACTCCTTTAAACACCAGGATCTATACTGAACAGTGCATGTCTGGTATAGTAATCAAGGTACAGTAGGCTGAGGCCAGCTCCGTGGTTTAATTGACTAATTCTCCATCTGCAAGCACCAGCATCCTGTGAGTGCCTACTGCTCCACTTCCCACCCAACTCCTTGCTGCTTACCTGGGAAAGTAGTGGAGGATGGCCCAAAGTCTTGGGACCATGCACCTGCATGGGAAACCTGGAAGAGCCGTTTGGGAGGTAAATTGGTAGATGGAACATCTCTCTTTCATTCTCTCTTCCCCCCCCCCCCCGCTGCTTTTCCACTAAAAAAGATAAATCTTAAAAAGTACAGTAAGCGAAGACTGGCTGGCTTTTTTCTGACAAGCCCCTTGACTGTCTTGTCTGTTAAGTTTGCTTTAGCATGCTACTTTTCTGTTTAACATTTACCTAGAGGTTATTGTGTGCAAAAACATGGAATACAACTCTAAGCACTGACCAATGACAGATACCAAGTCCTTTGCTCATAAAGGCAGAGTGCATTGGGAGACACTGCTGCTTATCCCCATGATGCAATTGTAAACCTGGGGAGAGAAGGGTCCATTGACTTCAAGATACTACAGTCCTTGGTGGCAGGTAGCTTTAGCACAGCTCCTTTTCTCTATACCTCAGCTCCCACGTGTAACCATCTTTCCCTGCACTCTCTTCACTCACTTCTCTTGGGTTGTAGGGAAATGAAACATATTTTTCTTTTTTTCCTCCTGTCCATCTCCCAGGCCCCTTCTTACTGCCTGCTCCCTGGTTCCAGAAAAATGTGACTTGAATTTGAAAAGCAGCAGGTATACCATCATGGCTTGTCTGCCTGGGCTCTGGCTCAGAGGGATGCCATCTGCACAGGAGCTATGGAGATGAACTCCACAACCTAGGGAGGGCCAAGACATGCAGCCCTAGGGCCCTGAGTATGTCAGGCTGCGTGATCTTGGTGTCTTCCAGTCCATGTCAGTCTCTTGTGTGTCCTGTGAAGCTGCAGATTCTGATTTACTGTGATTCCATGTTTCTAACAGGTGTGCAGGCAGGGTCCCAGGGCTGTCGAGGAACCAGAGTATATGTGAGGCCAAACCTGGGATTTCATGCACTGCCTTGCCTGAGAAAGGTCAAATCCCTAATCAGTAAGCCAGAGAGGCCAAAGACATCCAGAGCGACCAACATAAAAAAACTGCAAGTGGCGTAAAGACCTCAAGATGGTGAAGTCAGATTGGGAGAAGAACTTAGAGCAAAGGCCATTGGATCCCTCCAAAATGAAGAACAAGTCTTCTCACATGTTCACTGTCAGGCTTTCTACATTGGAGACATGGCTGTAAGAAGGGAAAGTCTAAAATCTTCATATTTGATTTGAAATGAAACTTCATAAAGAACTTCTGTTCCTGAAAATACTTTCCAGATCTCCCCAAACTCTTTTGAAGTCTCCCCCGAATTCGCCCTGCCACTGTGCATCTGCTGTTGCCTGTGATGACTTCATAAGAATGGTTGTAGGAATACTGAGAGACAGTTAGCAAAGCCCCCTGGTAGTGTCTCATTTGATTCTTTGATTCTTACACTCCTCCAGCCCCTCCCCCTTTTTAAGTAGATGTGTGGCATCCAAGGTCCAAGTCTTCCCCCGATCAGATTCACAAGTGATAGAGTTGAGGACAGGCCCAGAGGGTGGGTACATGGCCTTTCAGCCTGCTGCAACATGTTGGTGCTAGTAGGCAGTTTAAATGGTGTTTCCAGACTGACTTTGTCCAGGAGGAGTCATCTTGATGGGTTTATTTTTTCAGAAACATACTGTCTTGGGCTGGCGTTGTAGTCTAGGAAGTAAAGCTGCTGCCTGTGCTGCTGGTATCCCTTATGGGCACTGGTTCTCATCCCAGCTCTTCCTCTTCCAATCCTGCCCGCTTCTAGTGGTCTGAGAAAATCAATGAAAGGTGGCCCATGTGCTTGGGTCCCTGTTTCTCATGTGGGAGAACTGGAAAAAATTCCTGACTCCTGGTTTCAGCTTGGCAGTTGAGGCCATCTGGGTAGTGCACCAATGGGTAGCAGATCGCTCACAGTATCTCTTCCTCTGTCTCTAACTTTCAAATAAGTAAATTTTAAAAAATTATATGGACACTTTACTGACTTTTCATCTGAAAAGCACACCCATTTAATCTTAAACATTAGATTAAGCATCCCCAAACTTTCCCTCCTGTTCCCCTTTGGCTACTTCCTCCTCTGTAGTAGATCCTGTAGTAGGTTCTGACTTGCCACACTTTGGATCATATTCATTTAATCTTTTTTGTTTTGAGAGAGAGAAAAGAGACTGAGACAGGGAGAACAGGCTCCCATCCTCTGGCTCATTCCACCAATTCCTGCAATATCTGCGACTGGGCTAGAGCCAGTATCGCAGTCCAGGTGTCCCATGTGAGTAGCAGGAACTAACATGGAAGCCATCACCATTGCCTCCCAGAGCCTGTACTGATGGGAAACTGGGATCAGGAGATCTAACAGAAAATCAAACCCAAGCATTCCAGTGTAGGATGTGGCAGGTTTTTAAACCATTAAACTAAAGCCCACACCTCACTTCTATCTAAACTTGAGCTTTGCATAAGTGACTTTTTTTGTATTTTTCATCTGCTGCTTAAATTTTTTACTTTTAAATTTGTTTTTACTGGAAAGACAGATCAGATTTACAAAGAGGAGAGACAAAGAGAAAGATCTTCCATCCACTGGTTCACTCCCCAAGTGGCTGCGGTGGCTGGAGCTGAGATGATTTGAAGCCAGGAGTTTCTTCTGTGTCTCCCTCATGGGTGCAGGATCCCAAGGCTTTGGATTATCCTGTGTTGCTTTTGTAGCCCATAAGCAGAGAGCTGGATGGGAAGTACAGCAGCTGGGACACAAATGAGCACCCATATGGAATCCCAGCATGTGTAAAATGAGGATTTAGCCTTTGAGCCGTTATGCCAGGTCCTTTTGTATTTCATTTTAATGGACAAATCTGTGTTTTGCATACAAGATAAAGTGTTAACATGCATATATGGTGTGGAATGGCTAAATCAAAATAATTAACATTCACTAACTTACATACTTATTATTTGTGTGTGATGAGAATCCTTGAAATGTATTCTGTGAGCAGTTTTCAAATATTGAACACGTTGCTGCTGAGGTCTCCTCAGCTTACTCATCCTCACTGGTGTTTTCTGTCCATTGTACAGTTCCTACATACCCCAAGTCCCAGTCCCTGGGGATCGGCATTCTGCTCTGAGTTTATGTCTCTTATTTTCCTTTGTTTGTGAGACTTATCCATGTTGTGTATGCAAACAGTGGTTTATGTATGTGAGTTTGGGAAATAGCAAAAAGACCTTTCAAGTTACATTTCAATGATTAAGGAAGATGCTTCATGGGTGACATTTTAGAAATAAAGGTCATTATTTATAAGACTTGCTTCTAAAGGCATGGAGCTTCCTTACTTCGGTGAAAACCAAAGACATTAACAGAGAGCAAGAAGGAGCCCGTTTCATGATCTGCACAGCAGCCCAGGAAGCATGTGCTCTTTGGAGTATGTGCATTTTGTATATGAGCCATAGGCTTAGAGAACGGAGCATGACTTAGGAGTCAAGGCCAGAACTGCTCTTATCCTTTCCTTTCTCCCATTCTACCCTGGCTTTAGGACACAGATTGTTCCCACGTGTGAGTGCTGTAGCCCAGTGTTTGTGGGGCTTCTCTGGCCCTTCAGTGCTGTGCCCATCTCCTGCCAGGACTTGTGGTCTGCCCTGTAGGCCTTGCCACATCTGTTTTTTCTTCCTCACCTCTGAATTCCCCTTGATGCCACTTAATGATGTGTTTCCTGAATTTAGCAGTTTGTTTTTAACACCTTGAATCCTGCAGAGCCTTAGTCTTCAGGATAGAACTCTGGATCATGAGTGACCAAATAACTATATTTTGTATACAAATTTGAATTTTAGACATTTTCACACACCTTGGATTAAGTGAGATGACTGAAGTTTTGGGAAATACTCCTCTGTTGGGATATTCATGTTCATACCATATTCAGGTCCTATAGAGGATTGCAGAGCAGGCGTGAAGAACTAGGGGTTCCTGTGGAGCAATTGTATCTATGGATCGGAATCCTCAGTGTGGCCCCCTAAATCCACTTTTTTTTTTTCGTTGGAAAGGTAGATCAGATTTATAGACAGAAGGAGAGTAAGGAAGATATTCCATCTATTGGTTCGCTCTCTAAATGGCTGTAACAGCCAGAGCTGAGTTGATCCAAAGCCACGAGCTAGGAGCTTTTCTGGGTTTCTCACATGGGTGCAGGGTTCCAAGGTTTTGGGCCATTCTCTGCTGCTTTCCCAGGCTACAGGCAGAAAGCTAGATGGTAAGTGGAACAGCTGGGACATGAGCTGGCACCATATGATATCATGGCACTTGTAAGGTGAGGATTTAGCTATTGAGCCATTGTTCCAGGACTTAAACCCACTTTCTTATCAGATTATATTATCCCATTTACACGTGTAAGTTTTAGATGTCAAAGTTGGACTTGGCTGGTGGATGTTTTGGCTTATTACTCACCTCCTGCCAAAAGAAAGAAACATAAATTGTGCTTTGTATTTCAGGCTTTACTAAACTCTCCGGTACACTGAGTAAACACAGGTATAGATTGAGGTAGTAGTGAAGAACCACCCACATCCGTATTTTTTTAGTGGGTGTAACTGATGACTACTTCCTGGGATGTAGGTCAGGTCTCAATGTTGTCCCTGGCAGAGGTACAGTAAACATTGCCTCCCTATAGACAGCTGTTACACTACAGCAGGACTGGGGGAACTTTGCTGCCAAGGTTCTTTTGGGATATTTATAACATCATTCACTGGCCACACAAAATGATCAACTCAACAAGAAGCCTGCACTGGATTTACTGAATTGCCAGTACTGCGTGTGATTGCCTAGGCAGAACCAGACCAGCTGATTTCATGGGCTTCAGGTACAGCTGTCTAAAGGCACTTTTTTTCTGAGAACTTTTCCAAAGTTTTCTTTTTTAGTTTTTTAAAAAATAAGTCTCTTGGTTTGGGAATAAGAAACTTCAGGAAATACCCGAGGCTCCATTAACGGGATATTCATTGGGTTAAAAGTTGTGTATTGTGTTTTAAGAATGTGTAGTATGCTGGACACTGAGCTAAGGCCATTTGGTAGATTGTTTCAGTTCTGAGGTAGGTGCTGCATTTAACAAAATTAGAACCAAGGCTCTGAGAAGATGTCCCTTGGTCACAAGGTCACAGCTCATCAGTGGGACCCTGGAATAAAGACTCATGTTTGTCACCATACTGTGAGTGACTAGGGAATGTGGTCTGAATCTGGACTACTCCAGAGAAACTGGGTTTCAGAGGACGGATGATCACTTATTGGTGAGAAGTGCATCAATATGAGCAACTCGTACACTTAAAAATGCTCTCAGTTTAAAGAGAGGGATAGAAAAATTTATCAGAGCAGATTGTGAGAGAGAAAACGGATTCTTGGAGAGATTCTGTTGACTTTTAAAAAGGGGAAGAAAGCTAACAGCTTCCTGAAAGGGGTCTGGCCTCCTTTTGGTTGGGCTTGCGCAGAGAGGTTTGTACTTGTCAGGTAGTACTTGGTAGCAGTTTCACCTGGCATAAGCATTGGGGCAGATTGGTGGGTATTTCCCACACCTCCTTTCCTTTTATCAAAACAAAAGATGCAGGGCCAAGTTTCCATGTAAAATCCTACTGCTTCCCATGGCTATTTCAAGCCCTAGATGGAGGAGTATACAGATGTCTTCATTCTGTTTCGTTTATTCAACAGGACGCTGTGTCACAGTACTCAGAGTTGTTGGGGTGGAGATTCCAGGAGACCTCCAAGCACATGTCCCTTGTTAAAGATCAGAGATTGGGTTTTTTTTTTTAAAGATTTATTTTTATTATTTTTTTATTGGAAAGGCGGATATACAGAGAGGAGAGACAGAGAGGAAGATCTTCCGTCCGATGATTCACTCCCCAAGTGAGCGCAACGGGCTGATACTATGCCGATCCGAAGCCAGGAGCCTCTTCCGGGTCTCCCACGCGGGTGCAGGGTCCCAAAGCTTTGGGCCGTCCTCGACTGCTTACCCAGGCCACAGGCAGGGAGCTGGAAGGGAAGCGGGGCTGCCGGGATTAGAACCGGCACCCATATGGGATCCCGGGCGTGCAAGGCAAGGACCTTTAACCACTTGCGCCACCGCGCCGGGCCTGAGATTGGGTTTTATATGCTGCAAGCATATCTATTTGGTCTTCCTGAGTTATTTTTATCTTTTTTGTTGTTGAAGTTATAGATCTTTACATGTATTCATCAAAGTTCTTATTGTGTGTAATCATGGTGAGCAAAACTAGACAATTTTCTGACTGTATGGAACTTTAAGAAGGTAGCCATATGCTAAGTGATAGCATAGAAGTTGACAACTGTTGTAAGGACACTAAGGAAGGGACTTGACTTAGTTAAGAAATTGGGACAGATTACCCAAGGAAGGATTGATGAGCTGAAATACAAAGGATGAATAGGAGCTAAAGGAGGAGGAGATGGTATTTCAGAGGTTATAGGTATGCAAAAACCCTGTGGTGGAAGGGACCTTAGTATGAGTTAGAGATAGAAGATGTCCACAATAGCTGGGATGGAGGATAATGGTCACAAGACAGTCTTTTTTTTTCCCCAAGCGTAACAGGGGCTCCTAATATAAATTTTGTAAAGAGATTTAATTTGGTTGTAGTAAAGAGAACAGAGTATGGGAGAAAATGCACATGGGCCGGCTTAGAAGGTTTTGAGCTGTGTAGGAAGAGATTGTGATAGTCTGTAAAGACGGAGAAAATAGGGTAGATGGTTGGAGAAATAGATGGAAGGCAATGTGACAGGATATCATGATGGGTAGGACATGTGGGCTGAGAAAGGGCGACACCAGTGACAGCTGCTGTGTCTGGAGCTTTGCTTGGCTGGATGATGGCAGTGTTGTTCTGAGGGCATTGCCATGTCTGCTGAAAGAGTCGGTGGACCTTTTGATAGCAGGACATTTCACTCACTGAACTTTGAATCCTTATGATGTTACATATGGTAAGTACCTACTTAGCTTTGCTTAATGCATTTGAGAGCAGGAGTTTCTGTACAAGGATGGCATTTGTGCTTGGTAGGAGGAGTGCTCATTAGTGTCCCTGGGGCAAGAGTTCCATATTGTAATAGAATCTCACAGGCATTTAACGACAAAGGTGTGCTTTCAATATTCTGGAAGTATTTCCCAGTCAGTTTGAACATTTTAGCACTTTGAAATCTGTTTCTTTTCCATTTATTTGAACTTTAACTCTTCTGATTCTTAGTTTCTCCATATGCAGAATAAACCAAATAACAAAGTTCTGAAGTAACTTTAAGCTTGTATTTGATAGCATGGTGAAATATGAGGGTTTTACGATCATTGAAGCAATCCCTTGTAATCTGTACCACTAGTAGGAGCTATTGCTTCAGAGGGCACAGGCCCCATGGCAACAGTTGTCACTTCATAGATGTGGAATCCCTTTGAGTGCTTCTGCATAGATAAATATCAAGGGTTCTTTTTCAGTGTAATCCTGTAAAGTGATGAGTCAGTGAATGCAATTTTGGTTAGTGTGAGTCTAAACACTGAGGGAGATGTGAGTGATCAATGTTAGGTCTTTTTTTTCTGTTTTGGATATGAAGTCTTGGGCTGTTCAGAGTGAGTCATCACTCGGAGTTGAAAGTGTCTTGAGGCCCAGTGGTGTCTCTGTTTCTGTCTTCTGTATGGAGAGATATAGATGACGGGACTCGCTTCCAGCCTCCTGGAAGACCAGAGAGGATCATTCCTTGGTCGCTGGTGTCCCTGGAGGCAGCCCTCCCCAGGTACCTTCTCTGTGGCATAGGAAGCCCTCCTCTGCTGGGGACTTTGTTCAGATTGATTTGCCTGTGGTTGGTCTGTCGTCTTTGTATTTGCCTCCATTGTCTTAAGTAAGCCTTTTTTTATTTTTCCCATTGCTGTCATTTGAGTAATTCTGGAATACTAGTGTTACTTCTGTCATTACCGTTGTATTTTTCTGTTTCTACTCTCTTGGAAACTTGTCCTGGAAAGTCCACTTTATCTGGAACTAGACCAGTGCCATGGTTTAGTTCATCCTTTGTGGAAAGCAGGCATTGCTTAGGATGTACTGTGGGCCTAGGAATCACACTGTGGTATCCCTACTGTGCTGCTCCGTTGCCTTTAGTGTACTGGTTAGAAACTTGTTACCCTCTTAAACGGATATGTTGGGAAATAATAAAACATACCAAATTAACCTTGTTTGTCCTCTACATCAGGATGTGAAAGATTGAGCCAAAAATCCCTGGGAGATGTATAAGTATCTTTATAGGAGTCTTTCAGCAATGTTTTCAACCTCTGTCATTTTTACTTCATAAACTGACATTTGCATACAAATGAAAGTTTACTCTTGTGATATGAATCAAATAGATTTATTTGATTTTTAAAGCTTTTAAAACAGAAATGGAGATTTCATCTCTTTCTGTAAAGAATGTGTTCTATGTATCTTAAAATGCATTGTTTTGGTACAGAAGAAAGCCCTAAATGTTTAACCCCTTTATCTTTTTCTGCTGAATTCTCATCTTTTGATATACCTCTTGTGTACAGATGAGACAGTTAAGGAAACTGACCTGGGCACTTCTGGAAAACAGTGGTAAATTCGGGACACTTAATTGCAATCTTTTGCTTCCTCAGCTTATTCTCTTAGAATTTATTTCCTATCTTTATGATAACCTTTATCCAATACAAGGAGAGAATGAAGCAATGCATTTGTCTTGTTCTAAACTTAATGTAAAAGTTGTGTGGTTCTATAGTACTTTTTGAATTTGGCCATGTCATTTGTGTGCAGAAATAACTAATATTGAAGTGTACTGGTATTTTATGATGTCTATTCTGGCCACATTTCCATTAGGCAGACAGTGAATATGTGCTAAAACATACTATTCCTTCTCTGATGTCTTAGTCTCTGTCAGATATGACTCCTTGAATTTGTGGCTTTTCCCCAGAGTTGATGTAAGAAATCAGAATGTGTTCAGTTCTCATTTAGGTTATCAGGAAATGTCCATAACAGTTCATTTAAACATTTCTTAATTATCAATACATATTATCTAGCAACAGGTTTTTTTTTTTAAAGAGATGGGAGCCCATGAGTCAGTTCAGACAGGTCATGGCAGTTTCAGAAAGCATGAGGACTCCAGCTTTAAGTGCTCCCAAGTAGGGGCTTGGAACCAGTAACCTTGCCAACTTTCGTGTGCCAATTGTGTAAGTAGGATATTGAAGGTATCTCTGTGATGGATGATCTAGGATCCAGCTCTTACCCTTTAAAAGCTGTCTTGGAAGTCAAGTCTCCTTGCCCGGTTCAGTGAGCATTTTGCTGCCTATGCTGCCTGGCCCGCAGGATAAGCCCTTGAGGCAACAGTGTCCTGTCCTCAACTCAAGGTCGTAATTCCTAATTGACAGAAACTAGCTTCTCAAAGGATGAGAACTGAATTAATACAGCCCACAGGATTTGTGGTAAGAATCAGATTGCCAAGAGGACGGTTGGAAATCATGCTGGGCAGACAGTAGCCAGGATCTCCTGGGGAGCTGCACAGCACCAAGGCTTCCTTGACCCACTTCGTTGCTCGAGGCCCTTGCATTTCCCTTTCTGTGGGGGTGGAGGCTGTCCTGGGCATCGTGGGTAGAACCTGGGGGACTGGGGCTGCTCAATGCTGTTTCTCCAGGGTACTGGACTGCACCATCTCTTTCCCAGCTCATCTTCCGTTGCCGCTTGATACTGTTATGAAGGGCTTGTAGAGTTCCTCCTCATCCACCTGCTGTCTTTGCATTCCTCTTTACATCCAGGTAAAGTTTGCCACCCCCCTGGATGCTGCTTGTGCTCAGTAAACTCTTGCCTGAGCTGGAGTTGATCTGTGCTACTGCTA